ATCTTGCTCTCGGCTTCTTCCGCGCGCTGCTGGGCCGCCACGGTCTGAGTAGACATTTGGGCTAGTAATTCTTGCTCTCGCCGACTGGCAGCTTGGGCCATGGCGAGCCTATCAGCCTCGAACTTCTTCTGAACGTCGGCAACAACTGCATTCATCTGTTCTCGATCCAGCCGGGCCTGTTCGGCCCTCTGGGCCTCTAGTGCAATAGTCTCGTGCTGTCTCTGGGCCTCTAGGGCCCTGGCTTGGTCCTGCATGGCCTGGATCAAAAGGTATTGGCAGTTATGTTCTTCCATCTGGATGCAGTCCTCACACAACCATTGATTGCCACACTTAGGGCACACGCTGGAACAAGCCCCACACACTGGGCGCCTGCATGGACCCCCCGTTTTGCGGGCTTTCCCTGGGCACTTGTTTTCCGCCTGGGGCGGGCAACCAGGGCCCTGGTTCCAGCACGCGACGCGCGTGGAAATGGCGCCGGCGCTCCTCGAAGCCGAACGGGCGCCAGATCGTGGGATCATGGGCCGTCCCCGGCTTGAAGCCGATGATCGAAGGCGAATGTGTATGCTCTCCTGTGGCTTGACCACCCCGCGGAGCGCCTCATCCGGTTCATCATGTGCAATCAACTCCGGGAGTGTGACTGGGGGGTCAGACGGATCGCCATCCTCAGCTACCGCGGGGACCGACGGCTGCCAATCGCCTGGGGCGACGGCAGACCGATGGAACCCCCCTGAGGCGGGGAAGCATTCAAATCGTAATATTCGTTCCTGTGCTTCTTATGCTGAGGAGCTGGCGTTCGGCCTGTGGACTCCCGGTCATGCTTGGCATGATGTTGGGAACTCGATGCAACCTCTGCCGCCTGGGGCGAAGCCTCAGCGATTGGGAGAACGGGGGACTGTATAGGTGTCCCCCATGGCTCGTGTACCGCTGGGACCTCGCGGACTAGGTCGCTGGTCGTGGTGTCTAGATCTGGTTCCGCAAATGCTTCCCCAAGAGCTTCCAAGTAATCGTAGTCGACAGTCACCTGTCCTGGGGATGACCTTCCGTCTGGGGCGGGGCAGTCGGCAGCGTTCAACAACGGCAAAACTCGGCTTGGGGACATTTCATACGCGGCATACTCCACGTTGTCCTCCATAGAGTTGACCTCGTCTTCGTCGCCAAGCTGTTCGTCGCTGTCTTGACCGAGTTGCCCGTTCAAGGCGATCGGGATGGGGTGAGTCCCGGGCGGACGACCACAACCGTCTGCGACGGCGGGGCGCATGCCGCTGGACTCATCCACGACTCGCGGCCGGCTGGCTGGCCAGCGGCCGGCTCGATAGAATGTACGGCTATCGGGCTGGAATGCGCCGTTTCTGGGGACTCAGCAATCCAAGACGAGAAGGCTCCTCGCCTGGCGTTCACGGCTGGGCCGTTCCGCCCCATCGGGTTCGGGGTCTGATCACGCTCTCTGATCTGAGCACGAGTGGGAGAATCATCTGCAGATAAATCCGCTGAGCACGGTCACGTTCTCAGTTCTGTGCACGAACCCCCTGCAGTGATAGAGTCATCTGCTGATCGCGTTCTCTGATCTGAGCACGAGTGGGAACCCGAATGAGGTTAGAAGAGGGGAGAGAGCGGCCCTCCCCTGGGCCGCTGTCCTGTTGTTCTTGCCCGTCTCGAAGCACGTGGTGTAATCTAGCGGACAATTCGGCTGTCTCATCATAGCTCAATCCCATAGCGACTTGGTCGCGGGTTTCGGCTGAAAACCAATCTTTCCTCTGAGAATCGGGGCAAGATGTCAAAGGAACTAAGGTTTCGTGAACAATACGCTCTGTGGTAAAGGGTTTGGGACGAGGCATGACAGAGACAATGGGTAATCCGTATAGCAAATGATACCAAACACTGGAGGAGGACCGGCCGGCCGACGACCGACGACGCGCGCAGGCCGCGGGCGGGCGCACTCCTTTTCTGGCTTGATACCAAATAGCTGCAGAACAGCGCTGCAATACAATTCGTGTCAAGGTGAGGCAAGGCAGGCGGCAGGAGAGGCAACTAGAAGATGAGGCGGAGAGGAGCATATTCAGTCATGTCGATGTGCATCTAAATTGCCCTTCCGACGGGATGGCCCACGGGACGACCTTGGAACAAACCACAAGGCATCCACGAGGCTTCCCATTGTTCAACAATCCCACGGGAGAACAGCGGGCAAGACCACTCACAAGACAGCCCACGGGACACCACACGAAAACAAAACGGAGCAACACATGGGACAACCCATGGGACTACCGCGGGACCACCCAAGGGACAACCCTCGGAACAACCCCGGGACAACCCACGCGACCGCCCCGCGCCCCGCCTCGGCCGCTACACCGATGGGTTTGCGCAACTTCGCCACGCCCGTACGCACGGCACAAATCAAAACCGAAACTCGTCTTGCTCACCCCCCTCCCGGCCTCCGAAACGTTCTCCTCCTGGCCTTGCCAGGAAGGCATTGCAAGGATCCTGGGTCCAGAATGGACATGGCCAAGGTCGCTGTATGTAGCTCGCGTCGCCCCGAAAAAAACTCTCGGGATCAAATTTCGACTGTACTTGATGGTACGGCCCAGGAAGACTCAAGAAGGCGGCAGGGTGCTACCAAGACGTCCCATGCGAGCCCTATGAGGCCGCCAAAAGGATCACGACACGGCCCAAGAGGCGCACTAAAGACCCGAGAACCCGGCAGGGAGCCCGAGACAACCCAAAAACGGCAACACCCACATGCACGCGGTCAGGAACATTTGCTCAACGTGTCGCGGCGGCGGCGGCCTCTGCGACCCGCCTTGCCCTGCGATATCATAGCGCGTCGCTCTGTTAGCTCAGATGGGAAGAAAGAACAACATCGGGGCGCTGATGCCTGGGAACTAGGACGTGATCAGCGTGCCACGCCGAAAAGTGGTGAGACAGAACCGGCGACGCGACACGCTAAGCAAACATTCCAAAACGTATGTGTAAACTTAACTTGTTGCCCCTTCTGCCTTGTCTCATGACGTTGGCAAGACATGAGATGCCGCAGAAACAATCCCAGATGGCCCCAAGACCCAAAGTGCCCTAGGACAGGCGCCCTTTGAAAGATCTACACTTTCCCAGGCGCCCTCGAATTCGTTCAAGGACCTTCCAAACCGGCCGTACGAACTCCTTTTGATGCCCTAGAAGACTCCCAGGGGGTACCCAAAAACAAAGAGACCCCAGGGGCGCATCGAACGCACCCTCTAGGCAGAAGTCAGCACAGCTTTAAGTAGCCACCCAAACATTCACAGCAACGTCCAAAACGATTCAGCCAAGACAATGCGGCCTAAGCCTGGTGAACATAGTCGACTAGCCTTGCCACGTAAGTTCAGCATTGAATACGTGTGCGAGTTTTGTTTGTCTGTGCGCTCCACCAGATGCTGAAATTACATGGGTGCGCGTTTCACGGGCGCTCGCCTTGGAATCATTCGGCGGCGCGCGTAAAACGTAAGGGACCCCCCCAAACAATCGGCGCCGCCGAACAGAACCAGGGGGATTCCCCTCCCCTCTCCCGCCCCGAACAGACCACCCGCGCCACCCCCGCGTCGGCAACGCTGGCGCCGGCGTCGTCGTCATCGCAGTGGTGGTTGTGGTTGTCGCCGTGTCCGTCGTCGTCGTCGCCGTCGTCGTAGTCGTCGTCACCGTCGCAGTAGTCGTCGTCGTCGTCGTCGTCGTCGTCGTCGTGTTCGTCATCGCCGCCATCGTCGCCGTGGTTGTCGTCGTCGTCGACGTCGACGTCGTCGTGGTTGTCGCCGTCGTCGTCGTCGTCGTCGTCGCCGTCGTCGCCGTAGCCGTCGCCATCGTCGTCGTCGCCGTCGTCGTCGGCGTCGGCGTCGTCGCCGTCGTCGTCGTCATCGTCGTCGTGGTCGCCGTCGTCATCATCGTGCTCGTCGTCGTCGTGTTCGTTGTCGTCGTCGCCGCCGTCGACGTCGTCATCGTTTCGTCGTCGTTGTCGCCGTCGTCGCCGTAGTCGTCGTCGTCGTCGTCTCCGTCGTCGCAGTCGTCGTCGACGTCATCGCCGTCGTCTTCGCCGTCGTCATCGTCGTCGTTGTCGTCGTAGCCGTCGTCGTCGACGTGCTCGTCGTCGTCGTCGCCGTCGATGCAGTCGTAGCCGTCGTCGTCGCCACCGTCGTCGTCGTCGCCGCCGTCGAAGTCGTCGCCGTTGTCGCTGTCGTCGTCGTGGTCGCCGTCGTCGTCTTCGTCGCCGTCGAAGTCGTAGGCCGTCATCGTCGCCATCGTCATCGTCGCCGTCGTCTTCTTCGTCGTCGTCGCCGTCGTCGTCGCCGTGCTCGTCTTCGCCGTCGCCGTCGTCGTCGTCGTCGCAGCCGTCGTCACCGTCGCCGTCGTCGACATCATCGCGGTCGCCGTCGCTGTGTCATTGTCGTCGTCTCCGTCGTCGTCGTCTCCGTCGTCGTCGTCGTCTTCGTCGTCGTCGTCACCGTCGTCGTCGTGCTCGTCGTCGTCGTGGTGGTCGTCGTCGTCGCCGTCGTCGTCGTCTTCGTCGTCGTCGCCGTCGTCGTCGTCGTGCTCGCCATCGTCGCCGTTGTCGTCGCCGTCGTCGTCACCGAGGTCAGCGTCGTCGTCGTCGTCATCGTACTCGTCGTCGTCGTTGTCGTCGCCGTCGTCGTCGTCGTCGTCGTCGTGCTCGCCATCGTCGCCGTTGTCGTCGCCGTCGTCGTCACCGAGGTCAGCGTCGTCGTCGTCGTCATCGTACTCGTCGTCGTCGTTGTCGTCACCGTCGTCGCCATTGTCGTCGCCGTCGTCGTCGTTGTCGTCGGTGCCGTCGTTGTCGTGGTCGTCGTCGCCGTCTTCGTCGTCGTCTTCGTCGTCGCCGGTTTTCGCCGTCGTCGGTTTCCGCCGCCGCCGCCGCCGTCCGCCGCCGTCGCGGGATCCGGCAGGGAAGGGGGAGGTGCTCGACCCTCCCCCTCTCCAAGCGCCCACAGAATGCGCTCTTTCTGAAATTCGAATGCCCCGAAATCCTCGACGAGCGTGGCCAAGCATGTGCCGAAACAGACGAATAGGGCCGCCGAGCGCCAGACCATGTGTGGGGCGCAGAAAGTGCCAATCAGCGGCAGGCACGATCCGCAGAACTCGATGGCGTGCCGCAGGGGGGCCAGCGCGAGTTTCTTCTTGCAGGCCATCACGATGAGCTGCTGGAGCGCCACTATGATAGGGTACGTCGCCATCAGCGCGACCACCGAGACCATGCCAGCCCCCTCGTGATTGGTGTACGAGCCCTCTTGCAGTAACTTGTACTTCCAGCTGTCGGCAGACCAGACGCAAGCCTCGTCCATGAAGACCAGCGGCTTCCCGTCCATGAGGGAAGGGCAGCCGAGGCTCGCATTGCCGCCCCGCGGGCTCCCGGATGGAGCAGCCATGGCCCCGATGAGCACCCCCCCCACGAGCCCTCGCCGAGTCCAGAGTGGCTGTCGGCCGAGTCGGTTATGTATGGATGCAATGCAAAGGGGAGGTGCGAGAGAGAGGCCAGGCAGGAGGGGGGCGAGGGCGGGAGGAGCAAACTCAGAAAAAAAGGGGAAGAAGGAGTTACCATCGACAGGCTCGCAACTGTTTGTTCAGATTCGCGCTCGCGCCACACGGCAGACTCGGCTCCACTTCACCTGGGTACATCGTAGTCAGCTCACTGCAGGTCAGGGTGCAATGCGATGCCCTGGCTGCGCTTTCCGAGGGGAGCTCAAATATCTTTTCTTATCATGGACGAGCTGTATGTGCATCTCCCTTCAGCGCATTAGCGAAATTGAAGACTCTACAGCAAGGCATCTTCAAGCTGCACGCTGTAGACACAGAGACTTTCCTTCACAAGGGGAAATGGCGCCGTCAGGACAGGGTTGTGGAAGAACGCGCAAAGAAGGCTGATCGAGTTTGGGGACTCGCCCTGGCGTCGGGGGGGGGCGGGGGGTGATGCAAGATGCTGGAGAACAGTAGGCCTCCGTATCGCATGGTCACGCAAAAGATGCTCTGTGCGAGACCTCTTGTTCTCGACAACGATTTCGTGATTGGGCTTGGCGAGGGTTTCAATATTCGACCGGGCAGAAAAGAGCTTGATCTTCCCTCCTCCTCCTCCTCCTCCTCCTCCTCCTCCTGCTCGTCCTACTCCTCTGCCTCCTCCTCCTCCTCCTCCTCCGCCTCCTCCTCCTCCCTCGCCCTCCTCCTTCTCCTCCTCCCGCCTCCTCCTCCTCCTCCTCCTCCTCCTCCTCCTCCTCCTCCTCCTTCGCCTCATCCTCCTCCTCCTCCGCCTCCTCCTCCTCCACCTCCTCCTCCCTCTCCTGCCTCTTTCTCCACTTCCTCCTCCGCCCCTCCCCTTTTTTCGGGCCCCCAGGAGCGCCCCGACAAGCCCCCCGAGGGGGCGCCCCCATTCACCCCGACATCGACTTCCAAGGCGGGGCGCATCGCGCCGCCGAATCCGTGGCGTCGGGGCCGCCGAGCCCCCTTCCAGCAAGCCAGGGGGGGCCCATCCTCTCAAGCTGGGTTGGGGGGTGATCATCCCAAAACAACCTGTGGTGTGTTGGGTCCTCGGTTTGAAGAGGCAGCTCCCCGCGTCCCTCCTCCTCCTCCTCCTCCTCCTCCTCCTCCTCCTCCTCCTCTTCCTCCTCCTCCTCATTCTCCTCCTCCACCTCCTCCTCCTCCTCCTCCTCCTCCCCCTCCTTTTACCTTCTCCTCCTCCTCCTCCTCCTCCTGCTCGTCCTACTCCTCGCCTCCTCCTCCTCCTCCTCCCGCCTCCTCCTCCTCCTCGCCTCTCCTTCTTCCTCCGCCTCTCCTCCTCCTCCTCCCTCCTCCTCCTCATTCGCCTCATCCTCCTCTCCTCCGCCTCCTCCTCCTCCACCTCCTCCTCCCTCTCCTGCCTCTTTCTCCACTTCCTCCTCCGCCCCTCCCTTTTTTTCGGGCCCCCAGGAGCGCCCCGACAAGCCCCCCGAGAGGGCGCCCCCATTCACCCCGACATCGACTTCCAAGGCGGGGCGCATCGCGCCGCCGAATCCGTGGCGTCGGGGCCGCCGAGCCCCCTTCCAGCAAGCCAGGGGGGGCCCATCCTCTCAAGCTGGGTTGGGGGGTGATCATCCCAAAACAACCTGTGGTGTGTTGGGTCCTCGGTTTGAAGAGGCAGCTCCCCGCGTCCCTCCTCCTCCTCCTCCTCCTCCTCCTCCTCCTCCTCCTCCTCCTCCTCCTCCTCCTCCTCTTCCTCCTCTCATTCTCCTCCTCCATCCTCCTCCTCCTCCTCCTCCTCCTCCCCCTCCCTCCTCCTCCTCCTCCTCCTCCTCCTCCTCCTGCTCTCCACTCCTCCGCTCTCCTCGCCCTCCTCTCTCTCCTCCTCCTCCTCCTCCTCCTCCTCCTCCTCCTCCTTCGCCTCATCCTCCTCCTCCTCCGCCTCCTCCTCCTCCACCTCCTCCTCCCTCTCCTGCCTCTTTCTCCACTTCCTCCTCCGCCCCTCCCCTTTTTTCGGGCCCCCAGGAGCGCCCCGACAAGCCCCCCGAGGGGGCGCCCCCATTCACCCCGACATCGACTTCCAAGGCGGGGCGCATCGCGCCGCCGAATCCGTGGCGTCGGGGCCGCCGAGCCCCCTTCCAGCACGCCAGGGGGGGCCCATCCTCTCAAGCTGGGTTGGGGGGTCATCATCCCAAAACAACCTGTGGTGTGTTGGGTCCTCGGTTTGAAGAGGCAGCTCCCCGCGTCCCTCCTCCTCCTCCTCCTCCTCCTCCTCCTCCTCCTCCTCCTCCTCATTCTCCTCCTCCACCTCCTCCTCCTCCTCCTCCTCCTCCTCCTCCTCCTCCCCCTCCTTTTACTTCTCCTCCTCCTCCTCATCCTCCTCGCCCCCTCCTCCTCCTCCTCCTCCTCCTCCTCCTCCTCCTCTCTTCTCCTCCTCTCCTCCTCCTCCTCCTCCCAGTCCTCCTCCTCCTCTTCCTACTCCTCCTCGTCCTCCCCTCTCCTCCCACTCCTCCTCCTTCCTCCTCCTCCTCCTCCTCCCTCCTCCCCTCCTCGCCCTCCTCCTCCTCCTCCTCCTCCTTCCTCCTCCTCCTCCTCCTCCTCCTCCTCCTCCTCCTCCTCCTCCTCCCCCTCCTCCTCCTTCCCCTCCTCCTCCTTCTGTTCCCCCTCCTCGTCCACCTCTCGCCCCCCTCCTCGCCCCCCTCCTCCTCGCGTCCCTCCTCCTAGCTCCTCGCCCCCCTTCTTCCCTCCTCCCATCATTATCAGCATCTCCACCCTGCCTTCCGCGCGTCAAGTTCGGCATACCCCTCAAGCGTTTCGTGGCGCCATAAGGAGCTCCACCGAAGGCACCAGTGGCGCAGCCCGCATGCGTTCCCACCGAAGGTCTCAGTGGCGCAGCCCACATCACCGCCACCCATGCCGGCACACACTTACACGCTTCGTGGCCCCATGAGGACCTCAACCAAAAGTCCCAATGGCGCAGCCCGCATGCATCCGCGCCACCAATTTGGGCACACCCTTTACACGCTTCGTGGCCCCATGAGGAGCTCCACCGAAGGCCCCAGTGGGGCAGTGGCGCAGCCCGCATGCGCTCCCGCCTCTTATTCCGGCACACCCTGGCACGCTTCGTGGCCGCAAAAAGAACTCCACCGAATATCCCAATGGCCCAACCCGCATGCGTCCCCGCCACCCATGTCGGCACACCCTCACATTCTTCATGACCCCACAAAGAGCTCCAATGAAGGTTCCAGTGCCTCAGCCCGCGTCCCCGCCACCCATTTCGGCACACCCCCGCGCGCGTCGTGGCCCCATAGGGAGCTCCACCGAAGGTCCCTGTGGCGCAGCCCGCACGCGTCCCCGCCAGCCATTTCGGCACACCCTTACACGTTTCGTGGCCCCACAGGGAGCTCCATCGAAGGTCTTAACGGCGCAGCCCGCATGCATCCCCGCCACCCATGCGGGCACACTCTCGCACGCTCCGTGGCCCCATGAGGAGCTCCACCGAAGGTCCCAGTGGCGCAGTTCGCGTGCGTCCCCGGCACGAAGTTGGGCACACCCTTCACACGTTCCGCGGCCCCATAGGGAGCTCCACCGAAGGTCCCAATGGCGCAGGTCGCGCGTGTCCCCGCCACCCATTTCGGCACACCCCTCACACGTTTCGTGGGCCCAGAAGCAGCTCCACCGAAGGACCCCCCCCCAGTGACGCAGCCCGCATGCTCCCGCCACCCATGTCAGCACATCCACGTTGGCAAAGACAGAAAGGGAAGGAGATGAACGCAAACAGCGGGGCCCTGGGTTCGGGCAACGTGGCCCCGCCAAATTTTCGCACGCGTTTCGTTCTCTTCGTGGCCCCGCACGGACATCCACCGAGGGTGATCTTCACAACGACGGGGCCCACAACTGCGCATGGTTGGGCCCTTCGCCAGGGGGTATTTTTTTGGGGTGGCAGGAGCAGGGGGTGGGAGGGGGGGGGAGTCGCCCGAGGGAAGGCGAGGAGGACGGGGGAGGGAATGGTGAGGGGGAGAATGGGGGAGGAGAGAGGCGGAAGAGAGGAAGACACTGCTGGAATCGGCTGCGATCTCACGATGTGAGCAACCTTCCTCAGTCACTTTCCTCGCCACTCGCACAGCCAGCCACGGGTGCTGGAGCGGGGGAGGGTCCGCGGGCCCCCTGGTGCTGAGGCGCCAGGGCGGGGGGCAGGCCCCGCCCCCCCTCCTTCTCTCCACCTCCCGCAGGCTCAGACCTGAGGGGAGAAGCAACCTTCGCGAGACAGATAAGATCTAACACCACGGCGAAAGCTGAAGCGGCTCCCCCCCTCACGTCCTCGGAGCCCCCCCAAGAGTGTTGCGCTCCCCGCGGGCTCTCTCGGGGGGCGCGAGGCCAAACGAAGATGTGAATGCGCGACAAGATCGGAGCCCTCCCCCGCAGGCCTCGAGAGGCGAACCTCGGACTCTGGGAATCATCCCCAGGAGTCGGCTGGAGGGCGCTCTCGACAAAGTCATGGGTCGCTGCCGCGCGCGCGGCCACCGGTGGACCCCGATGCGACGGAAACAAAGCTTTCCGAATTCGAAACACATTCCCCCCCCCCCGGTGCGGGCGGGGTGTGTGCGTGGGGTGGGGGGGGGCACGCCTTGGACAACCGTCTGCCGTCAGTCGGGGCCGTGAAACCGCAGCGCATGCAACATGCAAGATCCGACTTGTTCGTGCTGCCGAGGCAGTGGCTCGAGCGAAAACGAACCGATCCCACCCGCGCCGCTCCCGAGATCGCCTCGAAAACCTCGCCAAAGTCGGGGCGCGCCTCTAGCGTTTCGGCCGATCCCAGCGAAGGCGTCGGGCGAGAGAACGGCACTTGGTCGATCCTCGGGATGACAACCTTACACTGGGAACGCCTCCGACGACCAACAAACGGCTCAAATCTGTGAGAGCCCGAGCTGATCGCGGCCGCAAATTTCGATGGCTTCCGACAGCACGTGCACGGGGCCCGTGCGCCGTCCCAAAGTTCAACCTGAACGCGCTTCTGCTGCTGTCGCATGCCACAAGTCGGTCCGAGGGGGAGGACCAGAAACGCACCGGCCCCGGGTCCACTGGGCCGCCTTCCCCGCAAAGACATCAGCGCTGGCGCCACCCTGGCACATGAAAATCTCGAAAGCCGAGTTGACAGACTGCAGGAATTCCTCCGTGTGGCACGGGGTCCATAGCAGAGAGACATCCCCAGGGCCACAGGCGGCCAGGGCACGAACGGCGCGGACCCACAGGTCCCCGCTCTGACCCCTGGTAGATTTCTCGCGACCCGAGTGTCAATTCGAACTCAACTGATGCAGCCCGTTGCATAGCAAACTGGGCCCCTCGAGATTTCGAGGGCAGACAGAAAGCCTGCAACTCTGACTTAAGAACACTCTGCTTCTCACCCGAAAAAATCTGCGCGACTCCGAGCCACTGCAACGGAGCTAAAAGATCTTGGCGCATTGCAGCCACCGCAGAGCCACATGTCCTTCGACTGGTATCAGCACTGAAGGGCCTCCACAGCCATCTCCGAAAATGGAAAGAGGAGGGCCTCCTGGTTCCGAGCGCAGATCATATATTGCCCCCAATCATCCGGGGACCTCCTGGGCACCCCCAGGGAGCTCGAGGAAATCAGGCATCACGAGACCCTTAGAGGGCACACATCGCGACCACAAAGCCCGCTGAGCCCCGAGGCCCGCGGGGGACTGGGGAAGAAGAAAATCAGTTGTCACGAAATCGTCGCGCCCGCAATTGGCTGGGCACGACCATGCTCTGTGAGGGGGGGGGGGGGCCCAGCGCCCTGCCTACAGCGAGGGCGCAGCGGCGAGCCCTCATACCCTGCCTCGCGCTGCCTATCACGCGCCCACTGGCCGCCCGAGATGACGGCGAGGTCGGCTGTCCACTCGTCGAACTCCGCCCTCTTCACGAAGCGGCCCAGCTCGATGCGCACGGTCGTCAAATCCCACCACCTGACAGGTCCTCGCCAGCATTGTGCCAGGCGGCCTGCTGGCACTGCTTGCACAAGCGGTCACCCATGACGGCGCCGAGCATGTCCTCGAAATGGGCGGGGGGCGCCGCGGCGAACTGCTCGCCGCCGAAGCTCGGGAAGATCCACCCGTCAATCGCGCCATGTAACAGGGGTCGACTAGGGAAGGGACCAGACCTTAGGCGACTGCGGGTCCCACCCCGCCTGGTTGAGCGTCGCCTGCAGCGCGGCAAAAGACCAACGAACATCTCTCTACCTGACCGCCGATCCCTAGCGCAGCTACCCGAAGACCTGCGGCCAGGCCTTGAAGATCCTGGGATGCAGCGCTGGCTGAGCCAGCCAGAGGGCGACCCACTCCTTGAGCAGCTGCCCCCTCATGTCGATGCCACGGCCAGCCACTCCGTACACCGCCTGCAGCACCGTCGCCAAGCAGCAACGGCCGTGCTCGGCCCCCGCGGCACTAGCCGCAGCAACACGGCGCACCGACAGCAGCGTCGAAGACGGAGGCGGGCAAGACGCCCGTGCTGAACAGCCACTTCGCAACGAACGTGCTCTGAAGGCAAGCGCCTCATACGCATCACGAGCCCGACGCTCGATCATGCGCACCGTGGCCCTCTTGCGCCCAGCAGCGTTGTCCGAGCCCAGGTCGACCGTGGCGCGAACGCACTGCACAATAATGCCGTTCTTGACGAGGCGCCGCTCAAACTCCACCCCGAGCTCGTCGGAGCTCGCGACCAGCTTTGTCTCGCCTGGGACCCTCAGCCGCAGACGCCTTAGCCCAACGGCCATCGCGTCCGCGGTCTTGTCGAGGTCCTCGATCACCCGAAGTTTCGTGCACTCGGTCATGCCCACGATGTCGTCGATGTAGCTTTACAGACCTGCAGGCGGGCAAGCTCGGCGGACATTATGGAAAAGCAGCTGGTGCAGTATAGCCTCGGCCAGAGGGACGCCGTGCCCTGAGCCAGCAACGATCGATCGAGAAACGACCACCTCATCAAAGATCATCCAGCCCTTCTTCAGCAGCCACGGGGAAGCATTCTGGCCCACTTCCAACACCATGATGATCGCAAAACACCCAGTCTCGCCGGCCTGCACCAACGACACGAAGCTCACCGAATCATCAAGCTTGGTCAAATCCCAGCGTAGCGCTGCATATTCAAAGTCCCGCTGCCGAGCATCCTCGTCCATCACAGCACGGATGAGGGTCGCCCTCGAAGCTGATGGCCCAGCGATCGCGGTGTCTCAGAAAGCCGACATGGAGGACGACGTGGAGGGGAGGAGGAGGAGGAGGAGGAGGAAAAGGAGGAGAAGGATGAGGAGGAGGAATACTGCGAAGGGAGAAAGAAATGGCGAACAGGGGCGTGGAGAAAGAAGGGCAGAGGATAGAGGAGGGAGGGGCAACGTGTAGGAAAACAACCGGGTATCGAGCTATCCGGCAATGGCGTCGTTACGAACATGGCACCACCTGCCTCACGCCAGGCTGAGCACACCATTGCGACATCGAACCAAACACGAATGCATATACCGTGTTGACATATCCACAACGCCCGTCTCAAAAACTGCAGATGTGACGTAGGAGATCGCGACATGCAGTACACACCATGTTCCCCAGCTCGATTGTCAGGGTGGCCCCTGGGAGGTGAAGAGGCGAAGTCCCTGACAGCTGAAATCACGACACCATCCCAAACGAAATAGAGCGTGCAACCATTTCGACCAAGCGCCTTTGAGAAACGCCAGGGCACGCTGCCACTTATCATCCCTCCCGCGAACTATTCCATTGCCTTTACGTGATTCTCGCTGGTAGGGAGAGCACTGTTGATACAAATGGCGGGCTCCACCTCAGACAACAACTGCCCCTGGAGAAATGCCAGAACACGCTGCCACTGCACCTCCTGATTGTTCACGCGAAATGCCGCAACACAAACACTACGTACATCAAGGGTGACACTGATAGGAAGGCCCACCAAGTAAAACAAAACACTTGAATCTGGAAAGAGGAAGCTCCACCCATCCAGCGCCGTGCTCTGCGGGGCAAGCCTTGACAAGTAGGCTCTCTCTCTCTCTCGTCCCACGTCAGCCCAGCAAGGCCCACCGTCCCCCAGGCGGTGTTGTGGAAGGCTTAGGTAAAATAACCAAAGGTATCATAGTCTGGACGCCAAGCAGCTCGCCGTAGTACGCTTCGGATTGGCTTCGCCCTGCCATCGCCACCTGGACCGTCCGCTGGCATCGCGGCAGACTCGATGCACCTCAAGCAATGACGTTCAGGCGCAAGGCGGAATCCATGACTCACTTGAACCCAGACAGGTACGGAGCCTCAGGCCGCCTGTGCTTGATATCAACGAGGAGGGGGGGGCAGGGGGAGGGGGGAGGAGCAGGGGGCCGGGCGAGGATGAGGAGCAGCAGGAGGGAAGAGAGAGGCAGTGGGACGGAGGAAGGACGTGACCAGGAGGGAAGATAACGAGGACGAGGAGGAACAGCATCAGCAACAGAAGCGGGAAGGGGGCGACGGCCACGACGTCGACGTTGACCACGACGACGGAACAACGACGACGATTACGACAACGGCGGCGACGGAGTACAGGGCCGCGCGCCCGCGTGTGCTGCACGGGGCTCGAGGCGGGCGTGGCGCAGGACTGGAAGGGGCCCTGCTTCAACGCCTGCCATGGGGGGCTGGAATGGAGCGTTCCGTGTCGGTGGCGCAGCCGGCATGGCCCTCTTGGAGCACACAATCCTTGCGACCAATGCTGCCGTCTGCCATTCTCGTCTCGTGCGGTCGAATGTTCGCATGGCAGGCTCGTGTCGTGTGGACGCGACGAGGACAAGCGGCCAGCAGCGGGGCAGGCCCAGTCGGCGCTTCAGCGCTGCGTTTCTGCCCACGCCTCACCAAGGGTCGCGGGGCGCCTCCTCGTCGCGTCGCCCCCCGTCGCCATCTCTCCTCTGACTGCTCGTCCTCTCCGTCCGCCCCCCCCCTGACAAGCTCGAGTCGTGACAAAATCGCGACGGCAAGTTTTTACATGTTCCAACCTCCCATGGGCAGTGCCAGGGCCTGGGACCGTCAGAAAACGACTCGGGATGAGAAGCAGGTCCCAAAGACGTTCAGACCTCGTCGCCCTCACTCCTCAGTCCTCATCCACCTTCTTCAAATGCTCGTCTCCGAACTGTTTATCCGACTTCTCGTCCTCATTATCCTCCTTCACCGCCCTCTTCCCCTTCTCCCCCTCGTCTTCATTATTCTTAAACTCCTCGAACTGATCCTCCCCCTTGTCCTGCAACTCGTGCCTCTCCAGCCCTCCTCGGCATCCGCCTCCACCTTCTCCTTCTTGCGCGTGCCCCTCCGCCGCTTCTCTCTCTCCCTCTCTCAAAGAGGTGGGTCCTCCAGACGAGGTCATCCCCTCCGACGCGTGCTTCTCCTCCTCAGAATGGTCCAGCCCTTCCACATTCCACAGCGTCGTTTTCTTTCATCCTCGCATATGATCATCGCCTGCTACTGATCCCTCTTTGTCCTTGCCGTGTGAACCCAAATCAGTTGTGCCTAATGTTTCCCAACTTGTTGTTGATGAAACCTGTTGGTCCGGGGCGTTTCGTGAGAGGCGGCGACTGGCCTTCATCGGTGTCAGTGGTCTTGTTTATTTGCTGCCTTCCTCGGATTCCTTTGCTTTAATTTCTTGCTGCCTTCCGTGGGTTCCTTGGTCTTGACTTCTAACTACGTCGATCGGGTTCCTTAGTCTTGGTGCCTTGCGGCCGTCTAAGTTTATTTGACTTGGATCCCCTTGCTGTCCGCCAAGCAACGCCAATGTCAAAGCAGTGCCAAACAATGCCAAATTACGCCGAGCAGTACAACGCAATGACAACTAATGCAACATCGCGCCAGATAGTGTCAAATATTGCAAAACGTTTCCAAGTAATGCAAAGCGATGCTAAGAAACAAAAGCACTGCCAAGCAATACGACGCAATGCTTTACATTGTTCTGGTGTGTTTGAAACTTGGAAACACGTTGTAAATAAGAAGACCCCTAATCGGGGTCGCGCCGGATTCATATGTATATCCCCCCTCGTTCTCGTATTCCTCGTACTCCTCGTGCTCCTCCTCCTCATCCTCCTCCTCCTCTTACGCCTCCTGCTCCTCGTCCTCCTCCTCCTCCTCCTCCTCCTCCTCCTCTCCCCACCTGATCCCCTGACATGCCAACTCCTCCTCGTCCTGCTTGTCCTGGTACCCTACTCGTGCTGCTCAACTTCATCCCCTCCTCATATTCCTCTTTTCGTCCCTCATAGGCAGCGTCGTTATCACATTCCTCTTTGTTATCCTCCTCCTCCTCCGTTTCCTCCTCCTCATCCTCCTCCACCTCCTCCTCCTCCTCCTCCTCCCCCTCGCTAGTCCCTGCACCCTGCGTTCTGCTCCCTATGTTTCTCTTCGCGCTTATCATCAGTTCTTGTGTCTCCCCCTCCATCCCAGTATCGACTTTATCAACATCCATCCTCTCATCCTTCATGTTTCCTCCATCCTTCTTCTCCGTCCTTCTTCTCCGTCCTTTAACCTCTAATATCCTCCCTCCTCCCCTCGCTCTTTTCGTGCCCCCATACTGCCGCTGCTCTTCCTACCCCCCTCCCCCTCCGCTGTTCATCTGCCCCCTGCCCCTCCCCTGCCCCTCCCTCATCTTCTCCGAAAACAACCGCGCACCACTTCACGCGCGCGCGGAAGACAACTCCTGCTGACAGCAACCGTGTACATGTTCTGCCCCTGGCTCGTTCTCCCTGTCTCTTTCTCTATCTGCATGACTATATATGTAAATATAGATGAGTGTCGTTCCACTCTTGTCTGCTCCTTTGTCCCAGCGCTCTGTTCCTGCGTTCTCCGATGCGCTGTTCGGGAACGGTCGCCGTACGTCCATAGGGTCGCGGGTTGCATGTCTGCTGTCCGCGAGAATTGAGCTAACATGTACTTGGCGACATCCGTTTGCACAACATGCCGAACCGTGCACCGTCTAGCACGCACGACGTCCCATGACCCCGCCTGCATCGTTTCTGGAGGCGCCCGCGGCTCAGGCAACAGACCTGGGAGCATGCCAGCAAAGGCACATGGGCGTACAGGTATGTGTACGCATATAATTCCCTCAATTGCTCCCTCTCGCTCTCTCGCTCTCTCTGTCTCTCTCTCTCTCTCTCTCTCTCTCTCTCTTTCGCTCTCTCTCCCTCTCTCTCTCTCTCCCTCTGTCATTCTCTCTGTCTCTTCATCTCTTTGTCTCGCTGTCTCTCTCTCTCTCTCTTTTCCTCCCTCTGCCTGCCTGTCTCTGTCTATCTCTCTCTCTCTCTCTCTCTCTCCATCGCTCCTTCTCAATATCCCTACTGTTCTCGCTCTCTCTCGTTATCTCTCTCTCTCCCATTGTTGGATATATACATATACATCTCTCTCTCTCTCTCTATCTGTGCCATGGATGCCCGCATATCTCTCTCTCTCTATATCCCACTGTTCTCCATCTCTCTCTCTCTCTATCTCTATCTCTCTCTCTCTCTCCCCCCATTGTTGGATATATACATATACATACATATATATAGAGAGAGAGCACGTTATGTCTTTCTCTCTCTCTCTGTGCCATGGATGCCCGCATAGAGCCTCCACCACGGCCGTAGGCCCCACTTCTCACTAGCCCGATTTCCCGCGCGACCATGCGTCATCTGGGCCTGGCTGCGGCGGCGGGGGACGCCCCGTCGTTCGCAAGCCGCTCAGCGGTCAAGCCCTTGTCCCCCGGCCGCCAATCGGGGCATCGCCGACAGGAGGCCCCGAGAGGCCCCAGCAGCAGGAGGCCTCAGAAGGCCACAAGAGTGGCTCCAATCCCATGAGATTTACGTTTGCTCCTACTGGAACACAAATCCTTTATGCTATGCGTGTGCTTATATAGAGTGTCCTTCCTCTGCGCATCCAATCCAACATGTTTCACGCATGTTCGTATAGGTTGGGCCTCCTCTGGGGCACGAGTCCTTGGTGTTTTACGCGTGCTCCTATAGATTGCCGTTCTCCTGCGGCTACAATCCGCAATATTTTATGTACGTCTGTTCCTATACATTGGGCCTCTCCTGGGGCACGAATCCTCCCTAGGAGGTCCCAGGAGGCTCCAGGAGGCCCGAGGAAGCCACGCGAGGCCCCAGGACTGCAGGAAACCCCAGGAGGCCCCAGGAGGCCCCAGGAGGCCCCGAAAGGTTCCACGAGGCCCCAGGAAACCCCGGAGGTTCCAGGAGGCCCCAGGAGGCCCCAGGCTCATGCGCAGAGACGCGCTCGTACTACTGAGACGCATTCACACTCCAATTCGTTCGCACTTAGATTCATTCCCAGACAGTCAATGCTCAGGCTCGTTTATATTCGGAAACTCCTGCGCCTAGACACTCACGGCGGACAGGTCCATGCGAATCTATGCACATATGGGGAGCCCACGCAATGAATACTTGTTTGAATTTCTGGTTGCAGGCGGGCTGGTGGTCGAGACCAGCCTCTTCATGCGCCGCCGCAACCCCGAGCGCGCCCCGCAGCAGTCTGGGGCCGACCCCCTTCACATGTCCTGCTTGGATATCCGACCACAGCACGTGAAGGTGGTCCACCCTTGCCGCGGGCCCCCGACCCCCTTTCTCATGTCCTGCCCGGATATCCCAGCAGAGCATGTGAGTGGCGTGGCGGCTGGAGTCGACCCCCTGAGCACTGCCCTGCTCGGGTATCCGAGCCGAGGGCGTCAAGGTGTCTGGCGGCCGGGGCTGACCCCTTTGACTTGCCTTCTCGGGTATCCGAACAGAGCATGCGAAGGTGGTGTATCGGGTATCCGAGCTTGATCAGGGATGCGTCGAAGCATTCAGTCTCGCCCTCGGCCCCTCTTGGAGGCTTCGTGGGGCTAGCGTGGGGCCCTCTCGGGGGTCTCTTGGGGCCGCTTCGGTGGCCTTCATGGCCTGCGTTGGGTCAGTCTCGGGGGCATCGATCAACACAGGGGGTAGTTAGGAGAGGGGGGGAGAGAGAGACGAGGAGAGGGAGGGAGAGAGACAGAGAGAGAGGGATCGATAGAGGGGGAGAGACAGAAAGAGAGAGAGGGAGAGAGAGAGAGAGAGAGAAACAAAAAAACTGAGAGGAAGAGAGAGAGAGAGAGAGAGCGAGAGAGCGAGAGAGAGAGAAACAAAAAGAGAGAGAGACAACGATCGGGAGATCGGACAAGCAAGCGGACGATCTGACGGCGCCCGGCTACTGAGGTAGCCAAGGACTCCTGACGCCTCCTGGAGCATCCTGGAGCCTCGTGAAGCCCCCTGGAGTTTCCTGGGGCCTCCTGGCCCTTCCTGTAGCCTCCTGGGGCCTCCCGTGGCCTCCTGGGGCCTCCTGGAGCCCCCTGAGGCCTTTTGGAGCTTCCTGGGGCCTCTTGGAGCCTCTGGAGACATCCTGTGGCGTCTGGAATCTTTCTGTGGCCTTGCCTCCTGGGATGTCCTGCGGCTTCCTGGGGCCTCCTGGAGTCTCCTGTGGCATCCTGGGGAATCTGTGCCCGCGAGTCTGGCCACCCAAACCAGCGAACCGATCGAGGCATCCTCAGAATCTGGCCCCCCTTTTGGTTGGGGGCGAAAATGAGCGTCTCGCTCGAGACATCCACCAAATCTGCTCCGAAAGCGGAGGATGTCGGGGTCCAAAACAAGCAAACCGCTCGAGACATCCCCATCATTTTGGCGCGAACGGAGGCCGTGCAATACCCCTGGCGGCCCCCTCTTGGGAGTGCTGAAACCAGCAAGCCGCTCGAGACATCCTGAAAATTGCTCCGAAAACAAAGGATGTTGGGGCACCGAAAAAAGGCAAACCGTCTGAGACATCACCGCAAGCTGGGCGCGAACGGAGGCCGTGCAATACTCCTGGCGGCCCCCTCTCAGGCGTGCTGAAACCAGCAAGCCGCTCGAGACATCCTCTGATTTTTCTGCCATCATCATCATCATCACCACCACCACCATCATCATCATCATCATCATCATCATCATCATCATCATCATCATCATCATCATCATCAGCATCAGCATCAGCATCAGCATCAGCATCATCATCATCATCATCATCATCATCATCATCATCATCATCATCATCATATTCATATTCATCATCATCATCATCATCATCACCATCAGCATTATCATCATCATCACCATCATCACCATACCATCATCAACGACATCATTATCAGCAGCAACAGCATCAGCGTCAGCATCTGCAGCATCATCGTCACATCAGCACATGAAATATCACAACCTAACATAACGTAACATAGCAACACACATAAACTGTATATAACGGAGGCCCTCCAGGGGAGGAAAGGGGGTTGGAAGGCTCCTCAGGGACGGGGTCAAGAGCTCCGGCAGTGCGCCAGAAATGACTGGCAGGGAAGACGTCGAAAGTTCGGACCTCGCAGCAGCAGCTTCTTTCGCGGGCGTCTTCCTCCTCGCACCAGCGGCTTCTTTCGCGGGCGTCTTACACCTCCTCTTTCTCGTGGGGGCTGGATCTGACATGATGTGCCTCGTATATACAAGTATTAACTTTAAACAAGGAAATATATTATTACCCACAAGCGACTCTCTTCAATTGTCGTGTTGGCCCCTCCAGGGTGACCACCCAGCGGCTCTCCCATCTGAGAGGTGGTCACCGGGAGCCGCTGACGAGCTAACGAGGAGCACGGCGGCAGGCAGCGGTGCCGAACGGACGAATGAGATACCCCTGAAAGTGCTGAAACCAGCGCCTCATTCGAGACAGGCATCCGCTCGAGACATCCTCGCAGTCGAAGGGGGATCATGATGATAAGGAGGAGGAGGAGGAGGAGGAGGAGGAGGAGGAGGAGAAGGAGAAAAAGGAGGACCAGAAAAAGAGGGAGGAGGAAGAGCAGAGGGAGGAGGAGGACCAGAAGCAGAGAAAAAGGAGGACCAGAAGCAGAGGGAGGTCGAGCTTGGCTGCTCGACCTCGCGGTCGAGCAGCCAAGCTCCTCAGTGCCCTCTGCCTCCCTCCCTCCCTCCCGCCTCGCCCTCTATTCCCCTTGCCGCCGCCCCGCCCCGTCCCTCCCCCACCCTTCCACGCCCTCTCATTCCGACTCCCCTCCTGACCTCCCCTGCCTTGAAGGGGAGGGGTGAGGAAGAGGGAAGTGCAAACGCAGAGCCCGCAGCAAGAGGCGCATCCAATATCCAGGAGGCCACAACACAAAGCCAATTGGAACCGCAACCTCAAGATTGCGAACCACAACCTCATGGCTGTCGCATCTCTGCAAACGACAATCCGGGACAGCATGGCAGAGCAACCTCCCCAAACGGCCGCCGAAAGAGTCAGAACAGTCGACGTGCCACCAAAATAGGCGCTCGTCGCGTGTGGACGTTTTCGGGGCCTCGTTGGGGCCTCGTGGAGGCTTTTGGGAATCTGTGGGTGGGGGCTGCTGGGGACTTCCTGGGGCGTTTTGGGAGCTTGTCCCCTCCGCCCATTCGGCACGCCCTTCACGCGGATCGCCGTCGCGTGCAGATCCCCTTGCTTTTTTCCTCCCTCCTCATCGTGCTCCACTTCCCACTCTTCCATTCATCCCTTTATCCCTCCCCTTCCCTCCATCCCTCCCTCCGCCGTGTCGCCGCTTCAAGGGGGGGCTGCGGCGTGATCGCCGAGTCGGCCTCCGAGAAGGAAGCCATGAGGGGCTCCTCGACCTCCTCTGCTCTTTGGCCACAAAATCACATGACGGCGGCGGGAGGACGAGGGTGAGAGTGAGAAGAGAGAAGGCGGTGGAGATAGATGACCATACTAATCACCCAGATGTACCAACAATGACGCAACACACCCTCCTGGACCAAGTCCCCCCCCAATTAGTCATACAAGCGATCTGCTTCACTATGCGGAGCGAGACCCTTGAAATCCTGGCGGCCCAGGGACCCGAAATTCGGGCGGGAGAGCCACTTCGAAATAAACAACGCTAGGCCATAGGAAGTATCAAGATTTCAACAAGGCGATGCCATAAAGCGGCAAGCCCGCTTTCAAAAGGAACCGCCCTCAATCAGAGTACGTATTGCACGGGCTTTAGATTCTGGTGCGACAAATGATACGGATGCTGCACGATATCTCAATGGTAATACCGTTCGTCTTCCGTCCGTCAAATGGTATCACAAAATTACAACGCCGTGCGTGATAAACCATATGTTGACGAGCCCAGAGCGATAACACCATTTCCATAAGTTAAAGGACGGACCATCCTGCAACCGAACGACGGTTAGACATGTTCAAGCGGAGTGAGCCCGACACCCAGGCAAGGGCCCCGTGTCGAACATTAACAGATCTCCGTCTGTGAAAGGACACATGTGCCCGACACCAAGGCGACAACATCGTTTGGAAAACGTCCCGCCATGCACCCGAGTATCCGTCGGATTTATTTGAGACGGGCGTGCACGGTGCAAGGGTGCAAAGTCCACTTAAAAAAACGGTCCGCCCTCCATTCGTGCACGTCTTGTGGGCTGCGATATCCAAACAAACGGGCGTGCATAGTCAGGCGAAATGACCGTCCCGTCCAAACGACACGTCTGTAGATGCGCCACGGATGAATTACTCTTACGGAAGAGGGATAGCATAGAGACGGAGGGTGGAGGAGAAGGAAGAGGAGGGCGAATGAGAAGGGAGGGTGGGAGGGGGGAAGATCAGAAGGAGGAGGGATGAGAAGGAGGGAGAATGGGAACCCTCCTCATCCTTCTCCTCCTCCTCCTCCTCCTCCTCCTCCTCCTCCTCCTCCTCCTCCTACTCCTACGTCCTCGCCCATCCTCCTCATTGATAATGCGTCCTACCTCCTCCCTCCTCCCTGCTCCATCCCCCTCTGTCACCGACTCGTCCTATACCTCCCCCTCTTCGCCTATCGTCCTCCTCCTTTTCTTCCTCCTTCTCCTCGTCATCTCCTCATCCTCCACCATTGTCCTCCTCCTCATCCCTCCTCGTCCTCCTTCTCCTTCTCCTCCTCCTTCTCCTCGACCTTCCCTCTCCCTTACTCCTTCCGCTTGTCCGTCCCCCTCGTCTCTCCACATCGTTCCTCTTACCATGCCTTGAGGGATGGGGAACAGGGAGGATCGCGATGGGGGAAACGAGTCCTGGGGAGGAGGGGTAAGACGAAGGAGGAGGAAGCCGAGCCGAGTCCTGGGCAAACTGGGCCGAACTGAATCCAGGAACCCGCAACGCGTGCCGCTGCAGTGTGGCCGTGTGCGGCGACTCGGGGGTTGGCCCTTAGCTCTACGAAAGCAAGCTCTAGGAGGAATTGTGTACGAGTTCCCGCAGCAGCGGACAAGAATATAAAGGGTGCGGGGAAGTCGTCGGCAGCTTGAGGCGCGAAAGCAAACTAGAATAAGCCAGCTGCAGGCGACGCGGGTGGGTCTTGGGGCGGGTCGAGAGCGGGTCTCGGGGCGCGGGCCGCGGGTGTGTCGGAGTAAGGCCGCGGGTGGGCCGCGGGCGGGTCGCGAGGCGGGTCGCGGGGCGGGGCCGGCAACGAGAAACCTATGAATCTTCACCGCCGAACCGCACTTCAGCCACGCACTCAAGGACCGTGCTTTACGCCGCTCTCCCCACCCACTCTGACTTAGCAAGCTTGTCACATAGGGTGCATCGCCTCCGACCGTCGAAAGGCGCATGTGCGACATCGGGCTAATCGTCCCCAAAACAGTGTTTGCACTTAGAGGTGCTTACTTCTGGCCGTCTGCCGGCCTGCTGGACGCGCGTGCGGACTGACTCTGCCGCGCTGCGACGTAACAACTTTTTTCTGATCCTGAAGGGGTAGGACTCGTCAGCCGATGTTTCGCCTGGTGCCTGCCCGTGGGCGCCTCGTGGGCGCCTCGTGCGCAGGGTGAGTCAGCTGAGGTTTCGACTGTTACCCGCCCGTGGGCGCCTCGTGCGCTGGGTGGGCCAGCCGAGGTTTCGCCTGGTGACCATGGCCGCCTCGTGGGCGCCTCGTACGCTGGGTGGGTGTGCCGGGTTTCGCCTGGTACCCGCCTGTGGGCGCCTCGCGGGCTCCTCGCGCGCTTGGCGGCCGCATAGCTTGCACCAGGTAGCCTTTACCGCACAGCCTTTCCCGCACAGCCTCTACCACATAGGTTTTACCACATGGCTTACACCACGCAGCTGAAGCCACACAGCTTGCACTACGGAGCTTGAACCTTGTAGTTTGCATCGCACAATTTACATTTACACGACTTCACTTACACCACATAACTTACATCACATTGCTGTTGCAAGAAAGCTTGCACCGCATGGCTTACACCACATATATTGCATAACATGGCTTGCGCCACATTGCATAAACGTCTACACTGTAATACATTACGGCTTGCGGTCAAAACTAGCAAACATCCTTGAGGAAAATGGTTGGGTGCGCCGCGATTTGGTTGGCGCCCGGCTGGTGGGCGACCGTGGGCGCCTCCTGTTGGCGAGGTTGGCCAGGATTTGCCTGGCGCCCGTCCAAAGCTGCCTCATGGGCGCCTCGTGCGCTGGGTGGGTGTGCCGAAGCTCTGATGCCCGCCCGTGGAAGTTCGTGGGCACCTCGTGCGTTGAGTGGGCTTGCCGAGGTTTCGCTTGGTGCTCGCCCATGGGCGCCTCGTGTGCTGGGTGGGTCAGCCGAGGTTTCGCCTGGTGCAAACCTATGGGCGCCTCGGGGGCGCCTCGTGCGCAGGATTGGCCAGCCGAGGATTCGCCTGGTGTCAGCCCGTGGCCGTTTCGTGGGCGCTTTGTGCATTGGGTGGGTCACCCGAGGTTCCGCCTAGTTCCCGCACGTGGACGCCGGTGGGCGTTTTGTGGGCGCCTTGTTTTCCATTCGTTGCGCGAAGAATAGACTCGACCACCCTCCCGAGCCATGCATATTTCAGCGACATCGTCCAAAACCCGCACACTCATCTCACCATGCTGTGTACTTGCGTTGATTTACCATGCGGCCACTGCACGGAGTCTTACTGCAGAGTGCTGTGTGGGCCAGGCGCGTTCGCAACCACGTGCGCCTATCGGAATCCTTCCAACATCATGGTGATCGAAACATTTCACGATACACCTCTTCAGAACAAACCTGGACGACACATTGTTTTCCAGCGCAAGTTCTTCAAACATCTCAACTTCCTGCGCGCGGATTTCCCCACCATCAACACCACCAACGGCGCTGCATCACCGCTGGTGTCGTCATCGCCAGTGACCGCCATTGCCGCAATCATCCGCCAATCATATTCATCACCGGCACATGGGCATCATCATCGACCCCGTCGTCACCATCATCAGCACCGCCGTCGTCACCGTCATTATCGCCACCACCTCCGTTACGATCATGATCGGTGCCGCCGTTGCCGACGTCATCTGGATATCGCGCCCGCCCGAACTATCGACCAACACTGGCACGCCCACGGGCCAGCGCGGTTAATGAGACGCGCCCGGCGACTCCCATTGGCAAGCGCCCATCGCGGCCGCACCACTTGTGCCTCATCAGCTGCGCGCTCTGCGCGCGAGCTGGCGCGCAATAGCGCGGCCACAAAAATGCAACAGCCAGTGCCAAGCAGTCACCGCATTCGCGGCCGCATGGGTTTTACAAACAGATTGCGGGTGGGACGGTGACATGTTTGCGCGAAGAGCGGGGGTTGACAACGCATTAGTGGCCTTCGTCGCTCTCGCCACATAGTTTGCAACACCGAACTTGCACAGCATAGCATGCAATTCACAGCTTATGCCACACATCGGAGTGAAGGAGCCAGACGGTCTTACATCGTCCCTGGATGCGTGGCTGAAGTGTTTGTTTTTCCGCGACGCGGGATATTGGTTGCGTTTGCCATCGTCGTCCATCCCGCGCCCCACCTGCGACATGCGACCCGCCCGCGACCCACCCCGCGACCCACCCACAACCCCCGCGACCCGCTTGCGATCCACCCGCGATCCACCCACACCGCGTGAAGTAACAATCAGGGACTGCTGTGGGCTCTTGTGCTATGTTGGACACATTGGCGCCTGCGACGGGTTCCATCAAATTTGCTGTCCACCCTCGCAGAGAGACGACGATCCCCTCCCCACACTGCATTCCAGCGGAGACGCATGGCACAACTATCTCGGCTTGCAACATGATGCCTCTGGGCAATGCTGGATGTGCTTCGAAAACCTGTGTATCAAATCATGTGGCGGGCTCTTGGTCGTCATCGCCGTGTAGTGCAGATAGGTGATCGTCATCGCCTCAGAATCTCGCCCCCGCGAGCGCAGCGTAGCCATCGCGAAGGCTGACTCCGCTGACCTCCTCAACCGCGCCCGACTGCCAAGCGGCGGGCAAACGCAGGTCGTGGCGACCCCCGACCGCGTCGCGCGGTCGGCGCGCGATGCCTTTCACCGTGCCCCACTGGCTCTTGACACCGTCTAAACTGGCAAATGCGGCGTCGCTGAAGCACGCAGTCGCGTAAGACTCGAGGTCAACGACCTTGCGTCTTAGGGCGATGGCAAAGTTGGCCGTCGAATGCGCGTGCGCGAAAACATGATGGTTGAGCGTCTTGGCGTTGGCCACGGTAGCAGTAGTGGCGCGGCGAGCTGCGAAACTCACGCGGTGTCCACGCGCGTCTGCGCTGCTGGCCGCTAGCCACCACAGTTGCCCGAGCGCGTGACGCGCCTCGAATCTTTCGCTGGAGAAAGTCGATCCTCTTGCTTTCGTCCCCGGCTGCAAGCGTCTCCG